TGCTCGCGCGCATACTATGGCGATCGCAGAGCGCCCCTGCCTCGCCATACCCCGCCCAGCCCAAGCGTTACCGTTACCCGAGGGGCACGACCCCCCCCCCCCCCGGGTAACGAGCGTTATCGGCCAGAATAAAAAAACAATCTCCAAGAACGCCGAAGAGCCTCCCAAGACCGCCCCAAGACCACCCAAGAGACCCTCAGGACGGCCCCAAGACGGGCCAAGAAGGCTCAGACCATTCGACATTGCAGTCGCCAGCGTCTGCGCTACAACCTAAGCGCGCGCGAAGCGCGCGCGTGGCTCTAGTCTATATATATATGTATGTATGTATGTATGTATGTATGTATGCATGTATATATGTATGTGTGTATATATATGTATATGTATGTATGTATGTATGTATGTATGTATGTATGTATGTATGTATATATGTATATATGAATGTTTATATGTATGTATATATATGTATGTATATATATGTATGTATATATGTATGTATGAATGTATGTATGTATGTATGTATGTATGTACGTACGTATATCTGTATGTATGTATGTATGTATGTATGTACGTACGTACGTATGTATGTATGTATGTATGTATGTATGTCTGCATGTTTGTATGTATGTATGTACGTATGTATGTCTATACATGTATACATATATATATATGTATATATATATGTATATATAATTATCTATATACATATATGGGAGATCCCGGGCCCCAGGCCCCGGGCAGCGACCTCCCTTGTATATGCGTGGTTCCCTCCCCTGGCCGTCCCCAGGGGCTCCCAGACGGCCCCAAAACGGACCAGGACAGCTTGGAGACGGGCCCAGGAGGCCCCCCAAATGGTCCAAGAAGGCCACGAGACGCCCAAAGATCGCTCCAAGACGCCCACGATGATCCCAAAACGGCTTAAGTGGCCTCCAAATGGCACCAAGAGGCCTCCAAGAGGCGTCCCAAGAGGGCTCCAAAAGGCAAAATTCATTGATTGTTCAATGGTTTTTGAAGGTTTTTTTGGATTCTAGCATGTTCGGCGACCGAACGCTCCAAGACCGCCCAAGAAGCCCCAAAGACCGCCCCAAGACGGCCTGAGACGCTCCCAAGACGACCCAAGACAACCCCGAGACGATCCAAGAGGCCCCCATGACGGCCCAAGAGGTCCCCAAGACGGCTCCAAGAAGGGGCCCAAACGCGGGATCCGAACGGACTTTTCGGGCCCTCGGCCCCAAGAGGGCCCCAGGAGGCCCCAAGAGGGCCCCAGGAGGCCCCCAGGACGCCCCAAGAGACCCCCAAGAAGCTGCCAAGAGGCTCCCGAGAGGCAGCAAAAAAAGAATCCAAACGGCCCCCAACAGGCACCGAAACTGGTTTCAAGAGGCTTCGGACAGGACATTGGCTCGCCCTCGCCCCGAGAGGGGCGCCCGGGAATTCCAGTAGCACCAGGTGTAGAGATCCAGCTGCCCGCGGCAAGTCCCGCCACCGCGCCCGCCCAGCTGTCTCGGTGGTCCATGTGCGAGGGAACACGGATGTCCTACCCTGTGACGCGTTGTATCTCCAGGCTTGATGGTGCACGACGCCCGGGTTCCCAGGGCGGGTGCCCCGAGGGGGCATGGGAGTACAGGGGCTCATTTTTTTTCTGCTTTTACAAGGTTTCCGCGTCCTGGGCCTCGGAGGCCGCCGCCTCCGACACCCCGTGGGAGGACGGGGCGGCCGGGGAGGTCCAAAATAGTTCAGGAGGGCCTCCAGAGGCTCCCAAGACGGCCCAAGCGGGCCCCGAGTCGCCGAAAGACCGCTCCGGGACGCCCAAGATTGGCCCAAGACGGCCCGAGAGGCCCCCCGAGGCACTCCACGACGCTTCAAGACGCCTCTCCAGGGCGCTTCAAGAGGCCGAAATCGTCAATATTACGAAGGTTTTCGAACAGTTTTGGCCTTCCAGCCTTTTCGGCTGTCCGACGTTCCAAGACGGCTCAATAGGCCCCCAAGAGCGCCCCAAGACGGCCAAAGAGGGCCCCAAGACGGCCCCAGAGTCGCCCAAGACAGCCCAACAGAGCCCCGAAACGGCCCCAAGATGCGCCCAAGAGGGGGACCACGACTCCAAAATTCGACCCTCCCGCTTGAAGAGTGCCCCAGGAGGCCCCAAGGAGCCCCCAAGAGGCACCAGGAGGCCCCCAAGAGGCACCCAGGAGGCCCAAACGAGGCCTAAAGAGGCCACAAAACAGCCCCGAGGAGGCCCCACAACGGTCCCAAAACGGCTACCGAGAAGCTGCGAAACTGCCTTCACGACGTCCCCGACAGGCCAACCACGAGATCCAAACCAACACCCATGAGGCCTCTGACCCACCACCCAGGGCACTGTGGCGGGAGCAGTGACAGCACTTGTGCACAGCATGTCCCGGCGGGAGTCTTCCGGAACACGCTGCAGGAGGAGGAGGAAGATCAGGAGGAGAGAGCTGGAGTGGGAGGAGAAGGAGGGGGACGAGGAGGAGGAAGAGGCCTCCAAGACAGCTCCAAGATAGCCCTGGGCCCTGGGCGGCCCACGAGGGCCCCAAGGCGGTGCCTGAGGCGCCCAAGAAGGCCCGAGAGGGCCCCCAGACGGCCCCAAGAGAGGCCCAAGAAGGGAAACACGAACTGGGAATCCGTGCTCTCTACCCCGAGAGATTCTCGGGAAGTCCCAAGAGGCCCCCAATCGGATCCAAGAGGCCCCCAAGAAGCTCCCAAGAGGGCCGACGGGGTTCCAAGAGATCTCCCAAGGTGGCCCCAAGAGGCACAACTCATCGTTTTACGATTGGGCTTTGACGGGTTTTATTTTTGTTCGGCCTTTTGGCATCCCGATGCTCCAAGACGGCCCAAGAGGCTTCCAATGCCGCTCCAATATAGAGGAAGAGGCCTCCAAGAGGGCCCCAAAACGGCCTGCGAGGGCCCCGAGACGGTGCTTGAGGCGCCCAAGACGGCCCGAGAGGGCCCCAAGAGCCCCAAGAGAGGCCCAAGAAGGGGAACGCGACCCAACAGCAGAGCGTTCCCCCCAGAAGGCCCACAGGAGGCCGCAAGAAGACCCCAAAAGCTTCCCGAGGGCCTCAAAGGCTTCAAGGAGACGTCCAAGAGGTTTTAATAGACCAAGAGTGCCCTCGATGCGTCAAAACTGCTTCCAGGAGGCCCCCAGGAGGCTTCCGGATTGCCTCAATCCGGCCGCAGGTGGCCTCAAGTCGGGCCCCCACGCAGCCAAGACGGCCAATGGCGGCTTCAGATTGCAGAACCGATGCCGCCAAGGGACCCTCAGACGCCCCCCCAAGAGGCACCCACGAGGCGCCTCCAACAGCCAGTTGACGAAGCATGCGGAACACCCCAGAAGCTCCTCAGATGCCGTCGCGCGCCGGTGCTTGATGGCGTTGTCCAAGATTGTCCAGCGCCCCCCTGGCCTGGGCTAGAACCTGAGCGCGCGCGAAGCGCGCGCGATGGTTCTAGTATAATGTATATATATATATATATATATATATATATATCCGTAAGGGCTTCGCCCCATGCCGCCGGCCCCCTGTCTCGGAGAATGGGAGATGCAAAAGCTAGATAATGAGGTCTGGGCGCCGCCGTGAAGCGGTGTCAGGACCTGTTTGTTTTTCGACCTTGACCCTACGGATCTGCGTCACGGGTGCCACCGAATTTCCGAAATGTGGCAAAAAATCCCTTTTGTTTTTGGACCCTGACCTTACGGATCTGCGTGAGGGGTGCCGCCGAATTTCAGAAATGTGGCAAATCCCATGTGTTGTTGGACCCTGATCCTGCGGATCTGCGTGAGGGGTGCCGCCGAATTTTAGAAATGTGGCAAATCCTCTGTGTTGTTTTATCCTGACCCCGCCGATCGTGTGAGGGGTGCCATCGAATTTCAGACATGTGGCAAATCCCATCTGTTTTTGGACCCTGGCCCCGCCGATCTGCGTGAGGGGTGCGGCTGCCACCATATTTCAGAAATGTAGCAAATCCTATGTGTTTTTGCACCCTGACCCCGCCGATCTGCGAGAGGGGTGTAAGCAAATTTCAGAAATGCTGCAGATCCCATGTGTTTTTGGACCCTGACCCCGCCGATCTGTTTGAGGGGTGCCAGCCAATTTTTAGAAATGTGGCAAATCCCCTGTGTTTTTGGACCCTGACCTCACCGATCTGCGTGAGGGGTGTCAATTTTCACCGACCCCAGAAATTCAGAGCACACGCTCAGGGCGTGGTAAAATTGCCCGTTTTGGGCCTCCCCCCCTCGCGCGGTCCATCAACAAGGAACAGTAGGCAGCAAGAAGCAGAACCGTAACAGTGGAAACTGGAAGCTGCAACTGGTACAGGAAACTGCGAAGCTTCGGCCTACAGCCTGGTGGCCCCACAAGGAGGCTGGCGGATAAGAGCTTCACGGATGGATGGCGAGTCGTTCTCGAAATGTGGTTCTCGCCTTAGTGCCGCGCACATTCGCTTTCAACAACTATGCGAGTTTCCGGGATTGAGGGCTGGCCGTTTTCAAAATGTGGTTTTCGCCTTAGCGTTGCGCACATTCAAGTACTGCACAGATTGAGGGCGGCTCCTTTTCAAAATGCGGCTCTCGCCTTGGCGCCGCGCACATTCGTTAGAAGCACTTGCAAGAGTTTCACGGATCCCCATGATCAACGAATGGTGTTTTGGAAGATTCAGGATCATGAGGGTGCAACAGTTGCGTCGATTCGCGGTTGAAGTCCCAGGGATGGTGTTATGGAACGACTCAAGAACGCCAAGACGCAACAGTCAGGTTGATCCGTGCCGTTGGAACCCGGGCAACAATGTGTAGGTCTTCGAACGGCTGCCTTCCAGCGAGGCAGTTCCCTGTGGAAATGAGCCGTTCTAGAGGCCTATGAAGAGGGAGTTTGGAGGGAGGGTTTATTCCAACGTCGTTGATGACTCTTGGGTTTTCACTGGTTCTCCTCCTCCTCCTCCTCCTCCTCCTCCTCCTCCTCCTCCTCCTTCTCACTCCCCCCCGGGCTCGCCGCCGAACATCTCCCCCGGGCGGGCGTGGACCACCGCCGGCCTGGCGCGGAGGCAGGCGGAGGAGCAGCTGTGGAGGGGCTACGGCAGCGAGCGGGCGGCGGCCGAGGCCGAGGAGGGCCGCCTGGCGCTCGAGATGGAAGAGCTGCGGGACCAGTGCGGCCGGCAGGGCTACAGCATCAGCGTGCTCTCCCACCGGCTGGCCGACGCGCGCGACACGGTCGGGGCCGAGCTGTCCCGGGCGGCGGCGGCGCGGCAGGCGCTCGGGGGCGAGCTGCTGAGCGAGGAGGCCGAGTGCCAGGCGCTGGCGCAGGAGTGGGCGGGCGAGGAGAGGGAGCTGTCCCAGAGGGTCGAAGACGCCGAGCAGCAGCTGGCCGGCGCCCTGGGCGTGCGCAGCTCGCTCGAGCAGCAGCTGGCGCAGACCTCGCACGTGCAGGCGGAGCTGCGGGGCCAGATCGCCAAGGAGCGGAGGGCGCGGGAGCAGCTCAGGACCGTAGGGGAGCTGGAGCTCAAGGCCGCCCAGGACCGGCGGAGGGCGGCGGAGGAGGAGCGCCGGCGGGAGCTCAGCGCCGAGCAGCTCCGGACCAGCCAGGCATACAGCCTGCTGATGGGCCAGCTGCAGGCGGAGCGGTCCCGGGAGGACGCGTGGCAGGACGACGCGAGGCGGGAGGTGGCCGCCCTGGAGCAGGAGAACGAGAGGCTCGAGCGGGAGGAGGCGGCGCTGGGCGAGGAGCTGCGGGAGGCGAGGGAGCGGAGCGAGGCCCAGGCCTCCGCCGCCGCACTGGCCGCGGAGCGCGAGGGGCTCCGCGCGGCGGCGGAGCTCCGCGCGGCGGGGGAGCTCCGCGCGCGCCTCGCGCAGGTGGACGAGGAGTGCCGCCAGCACGAGCGGGCGAGGCAGAGGCTCGCGCGGGCCTTGGAGGAGTGCGCGCTCGAGCGCGGCGAGGTCGAGGACGCCCTCGCCGCCGAGCGGCGCCGCGTCGCGGACGCCGCCGGCGCGGGCGGGCGCTGGGAGCGCGAGGAGGAGCTGCGCGGGGAGCTGCAGGAGCTTACCAGCCTGAAACATGTCCCGATCCCTAGACTTGGCATCACCTGGTCGCGGTGCCGATCTTGAGGATTGCCTGGTGTTCATTCGGAGCGCATCCCTGAGATGGCCATCGCCTGAGTCAGGAAGACAGTGAATGGGTTGGATGGGGCTGGGAGAAGTAAGGATATCATTGCCCGTAGGCGGTCGAAGGTATCGCATTGCATCCGAATGCTATTGTTCGTACCCTTCATCCTCCCAACGCCTTCTTCCCAACACGATCATTGTTCTCCTCGCTGAGTGATAGGGATGAGTTCGAGGCTGGTCAGGAGCTGCGCGGGAGGCTGCGGCAGCCCCCCGACGACGGGGAGCTGCGGCGGCTGCGGCAGCTGCGGCAGCAGCAGCGGCAGCGACTCGAGGAGCCCTCGTGAAGAAGCCTCGGCCCTCCTCCTCCTCATCCTCCTCTTCCTCCTCCTCCTCTCCTCCTCCTCTCCAATTGCACAATATGAGTATAAATTTCCTCTCAACCCTGAGTCTGCCTGGAAGATGTTCAGCCCCCCTCCACGTAATTGTTTAAACAGGATTGCCAGGAGTTTGGTTGTCATCTGTGTTTTGACCATCCGATTCCCTTCGGTTCTTCAAGATGTTGCTCCCGCTGCAGCGCTGGCCCCGTTTTCTACGCCTCTTGTTGTTCCAAATCGTGCTCCCGCTGCAGCGCGGGCGTTTTCGGTCCTCCCAAAAAGAACCATCGGAAGTGATTCCACATTCGGTGTCGAGTCGTTGATTTTTTGAGCCGCAAAAGCCCCCCACGTTGGGTCGTCGTCGCTCTCAGGGATTATCAAGCGGGAGCACCGATTCTGCTTTGAGAAGGCGATGTTGAAAGCAGAGCCAGCGGGTGCTCTCCATCAGCCCCGCGTTTTTGTGGAGCTTTTCGGGAAGCCCAAGGAGCTAGACATGGAGCCACGGTTCCAGACTGGCTCAGACCTCTCGAAGACGATCCACTACCCTCCACGGAACTCGGCGCCATGCCATGACATGTTGTGCGGTGTTGTGCTTAACATCCGCTGTGCGATGCTACGATTTGCGTTGCAATGATTTGTGATGCAATGCTTCACTGCGCGATGCCACGCCATGGTATGGCATGCGACGGTCTGCCGCACTCTTCTACGCCGTGCCATGCCGTGCTCGACCATGCATCGCGCACTCTCTCTCGCGATCGTTGCCCTGCTCGACATCCGACTGTGCGAATAGAGAGGATATCTACGCCATGGTAAAGGATGGAACGAAAGGGTAGGACGTCAAATATGACGCGAGCGCACCTGGTTCTTCTTCCTCCCCATCGGTTCTCCTCCTCCTCCTCCGCGCACCTGGTTCTTCTTCCTCCCCATCGGTCCTCCTCCTCCTCCGCGCACCTGGTTCTTCTTCCTCTCCATCGGTCCTCCTCCTCCTCCTCCTCCTCCTCCTCCTCCTCCTCCTCCTCCTCCTCCTTCCCCTCCTCTTCCTCTTCCTCCTCCTCCTCCTCCGCCTCCCTCCTCCTCCCCCTCCTCCTACTCCTACTCCTACCCCTCCTAGCCGCCGCGGTTCAGCTCGAACCGAGACCCGACCACGACAATGGTTTCAGGAGCGCACACTCTTGAAGACACCCTCCAGGACCGAAGGAATAATCCGATATTGAATATTGCGTTCTGGCCCCGAGCTCCATTGCAGCAAGGAAAGGGGCACCGAGACACAGCCGCTTTCAGCTCATGGATTCTTGAAGCGTGCCTTTTGCGAGTGCTAGATGGAACATGAAAATACGACGCACAAATGCCCGAATAACACAATTCACCAGTTTACAAATTCTTGCCAGGGTTCATTCACCTTCCCCGTCGGGGTTGGGAGGCAACGAGGTAGACGGACTAGAACAGGACGGAGGAGCATGCCATATACCCAAAAAGGTTGGAGCTGATATGGGAGCGAAAGAATATGTTGGTAACACAGTGCTCTTTGCCCTCATGCCTTCGGTCGGTAACTGGTTCAGTGCGCCGCCTCCCCTTGCAAGTGAAGATCAAGAAGATTACAGTCTTCGTCGTTGAGGACCGTTCAACTGATCACACACGAGGGGATGGTTTGGCATTTAGCGCTATGGATATCGAACCACAGGATGCGTCGCACGGATACTTGATAGACCAAGCCTAAGATTTCGCAATGGAATTTCCGAATGTAAGCACAGGCTGTATTCAGAGTTGCTGGAAGTCGAGAGCAACTAGACGCTGTCGACCGAGAAGAGGAGGCCGCAAGACCACTAAATGAATGGATTTTCCACCCGCGCGATACAGAAAATAGATCACACATATTTCAACATGCGATATTGAGACGAAAGAGGCTTCTCTCATGGAGGCCATATTTCAGCGAATTCCCCTTGTGCACGGATAATTGGTGCTGGCAGGGACAGTATTTTCTCGTGGCAAGTTGTCTCGCGCCTCAAAACTTGCGGGGTTGCGAAGAGGCCAGCAAGCAGACGAAAGAAACAAATACCTTCAAGCGTTAGCTCTGGCTATAGAAATGTTACTTACATGATCGAGAGAGACCAGATACGAATGTGGGTTTGATTGTGAAGTTTGTTGTGGAGCGAGGTACAGCGTTCCAAGAGACGCCAGTTCACTTGGAACAGCTGCATTTGCCATGCGATTGGGCCGCGTCGCATTTGGCGCGTCGGCGGTGGCGAGCTCGAAGTGCCGAACGCGGCGCGCGTTTGGCGCGTCGTGCAGGACGGGCTCGTCAGGTCCGTGTGCGTACCCTCGACCCCTCCGGGTGGGCGGGCGCAGGGGCCCGACGAGTTCGCCCCCCCTTCCCCTCCTTTTGGGTCATCGCCTTCCGCCCTCCCGTCCGCCCTCCTCCACTCGGCGCTGCTCCTCCCCCCCCTTGGCTCTCTCGCCTCTCCTCCTTGCTCCTCGGCTGCGCGTGCCCTAAACCCAAACCCGAAACCCCAAACCCTCCTCCTCGCGAGAGCCCGCTCGCCGACCTGCACCCAGCGGCCGGCGGTGCCTCGCCTCTGCACCAGAGGCTGGCCAGAGAGCAGGGGACTCCCTGCAGCGGGGCCTCTCGCTCACCGGAGGCCAGCGAGGCGCCCCGGGCAGGCCAAGGCAGATCGTTGCCACAGGTCCTGCATCCAGATTTCCACAGGGGCACTGACATCTCGCACGGCTCGCTGTACAGCGGCCGCCGATCGAATTCGCACCCAACGCGTTTGGCCGCATAGCCTTACCTCCCCGTCTTCCCCCTCCTCCTCAACATCGTCACCATCGTCATCATCAGCAGCAGCAGCAGCAGCATCATGATCCGCAGCATCATCATCATCAGCCGCATCATCATCATCATCATCATCATCATCATCATCATCATCATCATCATCAGCAGCAGCAGCAGCAGCAGCAGCAGCAGCAGCATCAGCATCATCAGCATCATCAGCATCAGCATCATCATCAGCAGCAGCAGCATCATCACCACCACCACCATCATCATCATCACCATCACCATCACCATCATCTTCATCATCATGCTCCTCACCACTATTCATACATTGTCGATTCATCCGCCTCGTTCTCCTCTTATTCCTCTTATTCCTCTTATTCCTCTTATTCCTCTTATTCCTCCTCCTTTTCCTCCTCCTCTTCCTCCTCCTCTTACTCCTTATGACCAAGGTGAATCAGCACATCGCTGACCACATGCCGCTTGGGCCCACCATCGAAGTCCCCGCGCCGAACATCCGCCCCCTCCTCAGGCGCACCACGCCGTCGGCGCCTGGCCCCGACTGCCTGCCGTACTCCGCATGGATGGCTCACGACTCGTCGCTGGACATACTGGAGGACGTCTCGTTCGACCTCTGCCCGGGCCAGTCCTTCCCACGGGATCTCCACGATTCCGACTTCGCTGTTCTGCCCAAGGGAGACAGCCTCACGGGCGAGCTCACCATTCATCTAGCTCCCGAAGAGACGCCCATTGTCGCCCAAAAACACGGCCATCAAAGCCTTCGCTGGCGCTGCCAACTACCTCATTAAGTCCGCCGTCGCCGACCGCGTCCACACCGCGCAGCAGGGCGTCGTCGTGTGCCGCAATTTCACCTAGCGCATCGTCCGTCTCGACGCCGAGATGCGCCGCGCAGGGCTGGTCCCCGACGCTGTCGCCAACATGCCCGTCTGCACCAGCTTCGACTTTACTGCGGTTTCCCCATCTCTTGGTCGAGTCTGGCTATTTGTTGCTCCGGAATTCGTCGGGATCCCCGCTGGCTTCCTCAACCTCTCCCATGCCATGTACTACGCGACGCGCAGCTACGTCAAAGCCGACGGCATCCGACACGACATGTTCCCGAACGAGTCGGGCGTCGCGAAGGGTTGCCCAGCGAGCGGAACTGCATGGGCCATCGCGATGGACCCGCAAATCCGCCACATCGCATTCTTCGTCGAAAACGCTGATGGCACCCCGAGCCTCAACGAGGCCTACACTGGCGGCTGCGCTGACGACCTCGGGTTCCTGGCGCACTCGTTCGACAAGCTGCGCTGTGCGTCTGAGCCCTCCGCTGCCGCCCAGGAGCTTGCGTTCCTTTTTCCTATGCCGCGCAAGTGCGTCATCGCCCCGCCCTCGGCCGACGCGACCCCAGCCACCATTGCCCGCATCGGAACCCTCCTGGCCGTTTGTCACCCTTCGTTGGGTGGCCTTCGTTGGGTGGTTTTTCCGTTGCGGGGCGAGCAGAATACCTTAGGCCCTTCCTCGGACATTCTGCCCCCTACGTTTGTCAATGGCTCGCCCCTCGGCGAAAATGGTGGCAAAGGGAATCGATTGAATCTCGCGCAATACGGCAGAGACGCTACAGCGCGTTGATATATCACACCCATTCTGTCCACGTTCAGCTGTGTTGTTCAGTTTTCCCTTCTCAGAAAAGCACTGCCCGTCGCGAGCTGCACGTTTTTAAAATGTTGAGCATGCCGCCGAACTCGTTCCGCCAAAAAGGCGCCCATTGCCATGGCGGCGTGGAGCCCGCGACCCGTCCCGGTTACCGCACACGCCACAGCTACTGCCGCCGCTCCGCGCTGCGCCGCTTTCACGCTTCAGGCCGACAGAGAACTTTCCTGCGACCGTCTGCGAGACACCGCTCAGGAAGAGTTGCCCGATGCTTCTCGTTCACCAGTGGGAGGCGAGCCACTGGTCGCCGCCGTTCCGGGTAGAGCAGCGCCCCATAATACAGTATTGCCACGCTCTGGCTAGCAGCCACCAACACGAGAGCCCCAGCCCCCCGATTTGCGAGAGTCCAGGCCTCATGTAAAACAATCGCGAGACTGCGGACCGCCCGCCGAAAAATTCACGAGAGTCCAGAATTCCCGCGAACAATTCGCGAGAATCCCGCCCCCCCGAAAAACATGCGCGATAGTCCAGGCCGTTCAGCCCCCTTTTCCCAGCAGCAGTCGTGGCCGCGACAAACCGCGCTGCCCACTTGGAAATTCGAGAGGCCCCGCTGGGGGAACCATCGCGCGGTCCCAAAGTGCAGCCCGCGATCGCGGTGAACATCCGCAGCAGTGCCGCCTTCAATTCGCCTTTCACCGTCACTATTCTGAAGCGTCTTGTCGTATGGAGCGTCTGTCAGCTGCCCTCGCCCGCTGAGCTTTCCAGGCGCTGGAGCGTCCTCTGTAAGTAGCTCCAAGCTGTCCGCCTCAGCTGGCGCTGGGCCATTCTCAAAACCCTCAGCGGGGGCTGGACGACCACCGCCCGCATGCACGTGCTCGCCCCGAGGCACGGCGTGTTCGGCTGCGCCCAGGCTCCAGGTGTATTTCGCTTCCACCTTTCCTGCCGTGGGCTCTCGGCCCAGCCGCAGCGCATCCGCCAGATCCCGCGAGCGTCCTCCTGCCGCGGCGCGCGGTCCAACGAGTGACGCTCGCGTTCAACATTCAAAACAAAACGAAGTCCGCCGCCTCACCGACGGCCGACGCGACGGAGCCCGCCAGCAGTGCAGCCCGTGCCCCACGTTGGCGCTCGTCGTCTCCAGCGCCACTCGCCCTGCCGCCAACTCGTCTCGGCTGCGTCGGGCGCCTCGGAGAACACGCGTCGCCCCCCAGGGTACTGCCACTTCTCCTCCTGCTCCTCCTCCTCCTCCTCCTCCTCCTCCTCCTCCTTCTTCCTCTCCCTGGGGCCCCCGAGGGAACAAGGGGGCCCTCGGGGCGCTTCGCCGCTCAACGGCACTGCTGGGGGGGTCCTGACCGCGGCCCCGTGGCCGACACAAAAGAGACGTTCGGAGCGAAGAGAGACAGGTCCCGGTGGAGGCAGCCGAAACAAAAGATCGCCGCGCCCCGCCGCGCGCGCGCCCTTCGGGCGCCCTCCTCGGCCGGCCAGGTCTCGTCCGTCTATCGTGGCCTTAGCTTAACGGCACACCCACTTCAGCAATGGTGGGAAGAAGTTCGTCTCTTATCAGTCGCGTGAACGTGAGCAAGACTACTACAGGAAGAAGATCATCAAGAAGAACGCGAACACGCTTTGCCGTTGAATCGGGTTGCGAAAGCTCCCCTTGACGGAGAACTGGCAGCACAGGCTGTCTCCAGAACTCCGATTGCCGCGCTTCCTTTCGCAACGTGGATCCCTGACGCTCTGGACACCCCCTCCGAGGCATGATCTTTCGTGCCCTGGACGGTCCCAGGGCTCAGCGAGGGCCCCCGAGGCCGACAATGGCCCAGAACCTTCCGTCGCGACTTTCTGCGCAGCGAGGAGGGGCAGGTGCCCCTCGGGCCCGTTTCCTTCGGGATGTGTTGCTCTCTCGCGGCCATCTATCTATCTATCTATCTATCTATCTATCTATCGATCGATCGATCTATCTATCTATAGACATACATACATACATACATACATGCATGCATGCATGCATGCATGCATGCATGCATGCATACCTACATACATTCATACATAATCATGTAATCATATATATATATATATACACATATATATATATATATATATATATGTGTACACACACATATTCCTCCTCCTCTATTTTTATAAGCCCGGGCGGGGGGGACACCCCCCCCCCCCAAAAAAAAAAAAGAGCTCCCGGGATCTGGGGCTTTGGGACCTTCCGGACGGGCCTCGAAGCGCCCCCCCGGGCTTCGCAGGGCGTTTTGCCAAGCCTTCCCAGCACACGGAGGGCGATCAGGGGGGTCATCGGAGACGTCCCAGAGACCCCCAAGACAGCACAAGAGCGCTCCAAGAGTGACCGACATGACCTCATGATGGTCCAAGAGGTCTCCAGGACGGCCCAAAGGTTTCCAAAAGCTTCCAATAGCATCCCCAAGAAGGCCCCACAAGACAAAAATCACTGATTCTTTATGTTTTTGTTCGTGAATTGTGTTTTTTTGCGGCGTCCCGACGCTCCATACGGCAGTCTTCTGGGCGTCCGAAGCCGCTTGGGAGGCTCCAAAATCGCCCTACAGCCATCCGAAAGGGCTTCCAAGCAGTCCAAGAGAGCCCCATGGCGGGCCAAGACGGCCCCAAAACACCCGAAGCATTCCAAATCGTAACCCTGTCGTTCGGGGAGACCGCGGTTGGAGGCAGGGTGGCCCGAGGAAACCCCCAGAACCTCCAGAACACGCCCAGGAGGCCTCCAGAAGGCCTTAAGAAAGCCCGAAACTTTTGCGAGGCCCCCAGAGGCTCTCCAAGGAGGAGCCTCCGCAGAAACAGTTGAGGAGGATGGGGGAAATGCGCAGGGCACGGTGAGAACGAGGAAAACAAGCATGGAGAAAAGATGACGAGCAACATCATGTTAGCGGCGATGCTGGAAAAAGGCAACAAGGAGTTATCGCTAAATTGTCGGCTTGGCCTTCCTGCCATTCCGCCGGCATGCCAAAGTGCAAGGACCAAAGTGCATGGCGCGAAGCGCCACTTCAGTCTTGTATATATGTATGTGTAAAAATATATAAACCTACAAACAAATGTATGTGTTTATATGTATGTGTGCATGTGATTATACACAAATTTATGTGTATATCTATATAAAAACACAACGGCCTGCTGCAAAATTGTCGTTTACTAAACGACCCTGGGCGTTTACTAAACAGCCCTGCCATGCTCGATTCTTCCATCGTGCGCGATCACTGACCAGCGTTGCTTGTCGGGGTGCCCACTGCGAGGGTCATTCCTTTGCTCCCTACTCGAGGACGCCAGAGGGCTGCGGACGGACCTCGAGGCGGAGTTGCAGCGGGAGTCCGGCGCCAAGAAGGGTTGTTGCGGCCCCCGGCCTCGGCAGCCCGGGCTCTCCGCAGTGCACCAGCCCCGCGCACCTCCACCGAGGGGGCACGACGCAGGCCAGCCACTGCAGCGCCCCAGCGGCGGCGGCGACGCCGACGCGGAATACGACCGCGACGAGCTCTGAGGGGCACGTCCGCCAGAGGAGGGCGGGCTGGGACAGCAGGAGTGGGCCTTCGAGGGTCCCCGCCGTCGCCACGGCGGGACGCAGCTTGGAGCACGGGTGCGTTTGGACCCCGGGAGGGGTGCAGGGGTATGATGTTCCAGCCTGGTTTAGCCTTGATGCCCAGAGGTAATTCCGAGCACCAAGAAAAAATACCGAAACTGGGGGTTTTCACGTGTCGGGCCCTGGGAGGCGAAACCCGTTCAACATTGTTGCGATACTTTTCTGGGTGATCGATTTTTGTTGAGGGGATGTGGTCCTTAAGTAGTACGATGGGAACAACGGAAGTCCAGGGACCGATTTTGAGATGCTGTCGCCTCAGCTCGCCATGCTCCGAACCCGCGCCGCTTCCGCCCGCCGCCGCGCCGCCGCGGCGCGCGGTGGGGCGGCCCCCGCACTGCGCGCCTGGTAGGTTCGTTTCGTGTCGACCGGCGGCGACCCCGCAAGCGGCGTTCAACGTTGAACGCCGCGGGCGACCCAGAATCTTTCGATGTGGAACGATTTGGACGTTTCGGAAACGGCCGATCGTTCAAGGTTGAACGATCCCCGCGGTGTCAGAAACCAACGCCGAAGTCGGCACGACACGAACCTGACGTACGTGTTTCCTTGCCCGCCCGACGGCGCAGCCGAGGGACTGACTGCTTGGTCGGCGGCGACGACAGGGACGACTAGCCCTGAGATCCTGGCGATCCAATGTTTGTTCGAGCCAGGCGTGTTCGTTCGATTTCGGACCCTGGGACCCTCACAGATCGATCCGGCTCGAAACATGATTCAGAAAGATGGTGTCTAGGGCTTTGGGCGTGAGTTGTTACGATGTTGCATTTTTTCTCTGCGTCGGATCTCAGGGAGTCCAGAGGGGCGGACATCACACGCATTCGCCCGGGAGCCTCGCCGAAGGCATGGACCATCGGCGCCCTTCGATACATGTGGCGGGCCCCGGAAGCCCTGCACCAAAAAACCTTGCCACATCTTCGCCCGATGTTTATTTCTGCCGGCCTTCCGCCGGCCTCCGTTTGCGGAGGCGGCCCCGTTCTGTTTCCGTCGCCTTCCGCCGCCTTTCCGCCGCCTCCCGCCGAAGCAGACACGGCAGCTCCTTCGCTCCTCGAAGGCGAGGCGCCTTCCGGGAGCGCCCCACGTGTTGCTTTCGGGACCTTCTTGGGAGGCCTCTCCCCTCCCTCCCTCCCCCTCCTCCTTCCTCCTCCTCCTCCTCCTCCTCTCCACCTCCCCCACTCCTCCTCCTCCTCCTCCACCCCTCCTCCTCCTCTCCCCTCCACCACCTCGCCTCCTCCTCCTCCTCCTCCTCCTCCTCCTCCTCCTCCTCCTCTTGTTGGCAGTTTGCGGTCAAGCTGAACCAGCGTGGCCTCAAGGAGCCGTGCAAAGGGCCCCGTAAGGTCTCTGGTGGGGCCGCATACACGTCCCGTGTAAGGCTCAAGAGGGGCGAGCACCCCACGAAAGCAGGCACGTTTTTCGCCGATGTTAGTTCCCCCTCCGGGGCCACCCGCGAGGGCTGGTCCAGCCACTTTGGTTTGGCAGCTGGAGGTGGGGGTCCGGCTGCTGGCCCGAGCGTGCGCCCTTTCATTGAGCAGTCGGCCCCTGTTCGTATGGAGCTTGCTGCTGTGCTATTCGCCTTTGGGTTGGGCTCCCGAGAGGAGGTGGAAGCTGTTGGTGCGCGTGAGCTGGAAGCTCGTGCGTTAGCGCTGGCTTGGAAGGCCAAGGGAGATCCCGACCCTGAGGCCATGTGATGTTTTGGGGGGGGGGGTCCCTGTCGGCGGGCCCTGCCTGGGGGATGGAGCCTCAGGCTGGGAACAACAAGTTCTCATCGGACGGGCACCCCCACCCAATTCTCCGCTCTTTCCCCCTTGTCTCCTCCCCTCTATGGGCAGTGAACCTCCTCCTCCTCCTCCTCCTCCTCCTCCTCCTCCTCCTCCTCCTCCTCCTCCTCCTCCTCCTCCTCCAACCCTCCTCCTCCTCCTCCTCCCCCTCCGCCCCTCCTCCTTACTCCTCCTCCTCCTCCTCTCCATCCTCCTCCTACCTCCTCCTCCTCCTCCTCCTCCACCTCCCCTCCTGTCACGCTCCTCCTCCTCCTCCTCCTCCTCCTCCCCCGCCTCCTCCTCCTCCCTCCTCCCTTCCTCCTCCTCCTCCTCCTCCTCCTCCTCCTCCTCCTCCTCCACCTCCTCCTTCCTGCCCTCCTCTCCTCCTCCTCCTCCTCCTCCCTCCTCCCCTGGGCGCGCGCCGCGGGCCTCGGCCCGTCGGTCGCGGGGCAGGCCGCCCTTTTGGGTGGCGCACCGAAATTCGAGACGGGCACGCAGGTCCGAGACGCTGCCGAGAGGCGTGCCTCGCTCGCGCGCCGGCGCACGCGAAGATCAACGATCATCAGCCGCACGCCCTCCTCCCTCCCGTCGTCCTCCTCCCTCTCCTCCTCATTCTGCCCCAATTGCCCCCCCCCCCCTATCCAGCCAGACCCATGCCTCCACATCCTGTTCGCCCTTCTCACCCTTGTCCCCTCGCCTCCTCCTTCCTCCTCATCCTCCTCCTCCTCCTCCTCCTCTTCCTCCTCCTAGCATCCATCCAGTTCGCCTACCCCCTCCCTCGCCCCCCTCTCCGTCCGCATAGGCCCCCGCCCCCCTTCTTCCCTTATCTCGCCCCCCTGCCTTCTAATGCCACAGATGATCCCAAAAAGTGGTCGCCAGTTCCTTTGCACAATAGGCCAATTCTGGCTCTCCCCCAAGGTGCATGGCCAGGCCGTGGTTATCCAAGGGTTACCCGTTGCTTAAAAGGGTGAACGATACTTGGGTTCAGTGGACCCCCTGGCGCGCCGGCAGGGCAATGGGCGTGTGGGTCACGTCTGGTAGTTTATTATCCCATCAGCCCCTGGGGCCACATTTTACCGCCAGCCCGTGTCACACAATTTGGACACACCAGGCCGGCGCATCGGGCCCCCGCCAGGGGCTCCGCGGTGTCTTTCGGGGGCGTCTCCTTGATTTGGGCGTCGCCAAGGGGCCTTCTGGGTTGGCCTGGTGGGGTTTCTCTGCGGCGCAATTGGCAAGGTCATTAGGGCATCCTTGTCCCGGCCTGCCCGGCATTGTAAGGGGTTCCCCAATTTGATGATTGGCGCCAGGCTGCCAGTTCATAGATTGCCACCACCGCAGCTCAGGTGGCTCAAGCTCTCCCG